CTTCTTTCCATTCATTCCCGAAGTTTTACTCGCATTTTTTGTGTTCTCATTTGTACTGGAAATTATAATAATTGTTAATGCTGACTTACTTCCTTGAGTACGACGAATATTGGTGCGTCTTCATAAGAAAAATATAATCGTTGATTACTTATATTAAAAGAAAAAGTGTTACATAGTCATTACTTATAGTTGAATCCGAATAAGAAGGGACCACAGTACAATATTTTAGAACGAATTTATCATTTACATATTTTAACGTGTTTTAGGAGATTACTTGTCTTTGAATTAATAAATTTTTAGATTATTCTTAAGCATTTAAACGCGTATATTAATTCTTGTTCTATAAAAATAGAAAAGTGTCATGGAAATACTGTAATGTTCCACAAAACCAGAATTTAATTTTATAAATTACAGTTGTATATTCAAAATGTGGTAATCTTCTAACGTATATCTTATTTGAAAACTGTCATGTTTCATTTACACCAAACCTCTAGCTTAGCACCTCTATGTCAGGATCGAACAAAGTATATTGGAAAATTATTAAATGTTGCTTCAGTATTTAAATGCACATGTCATCTTAAGTTATGCTTTTAATGTAACTACGTGTACAGTATGAAACAAATTTTGTTACAGCTTTATGTAATATATCGAAATACGAAATCCTATTCTATTCTCATAACTTATTCCACAGCGAATGTACTATTTCTCAAATCGCGTTCGAAGGTAGGCAGTTCACGTTGATATGTGCATTAATACAAAAAGTTTATAGATTTTGTACGTACAATTAAATTGTATTTACGTTCTTGTTACCCATCAGTATTGATTAGGTTTATGTATATGTGTAATAGCTATATATTTCAAGTCGTGCACGGATTTAGTTTGAAATTCGTTGAAAAGGTACGATCACACGTGAGCAGTACTCATAAAAAGACTATTTACAAGCTTATCGCAGATGAGCGACGTACAGTCATTGTCAAAGTAAGAGGAAAACACAAAGCAATACAAGCTCTTTCTTTCAAGAAAGAGTATGTATTTGCGAAAGAAAGAAACGTGATCGTTTATAATCAACAATTTTTTCCACAAATTAGAAAATGTCAACGGATCATCGCAAGTAGATATGAAAAAGGGTTGGTAATGTTTGTACTTATAGAAATGGAGTGATTACTCTCCCTGCGGAAAAAGAATACGCTGCGAAATGTCATTACAGTTTTAATGATTTTGTTATCGGCGAATGACCTTTTTTAAGCAACCGAAATTCAAATATTTTCACCGGTTACGAAATTGTTCACGTATCAAACATTTCTTACTAGTTTTTAAGTTAATAAAATTAATGCAGCATAATGTTGTATTTTTCAAAAATGCATTATTATTTCAACCCGTGATATATTCCTGTCCTCTCTTAATGTTCATATGCTATAAATTAAATACTAGAGACAAATATTTTTTTAATGTTTAATACTTGATATTTCATGTTTCATTGGTTGTTTTAGTAATCATTTTTTAACAAAAATACATCAGTTCATCATTGTTATCACATAATTGATCTGTGAATACTTTCTCTTTAATATACCTTATAATTTCAAATCATTACGCGCATTCTCGTGTCTTTTTCAATCGTATATTGCATTCGCAAATACATTTACATAACAAAATTAATAATAATGAATTATTCGTTGCAACAATTCGTAATTGATTCTAATTAAAATTCTAGTTAAAACTGTAATCGTTTCGCAAGCGATGCACCATCTATTGATTCTAGCAGTTTCCTTTTTAGATTAGGCTTCTCCTCTGGTTGGCGTTTTACAGACGTAGGAAGTGGTAATCTAGGTCCAGGAGTTGGCGCTGGTTTGTTGCTGAAGTATGGCATTTGAAGAGCCTGATCGCATGTACATCTTTCCAAGGGATTCACATTTAAAAGACTAGCAATTAAATCTAAGAGATCATCACCAGCTGCAGTAAATATATGTTTTAACGGCGTTCCAGGAAATGGTTTAAACTGAATGAAATCTGGTAGTTCAGTCATTCCTGGCCATGTTTCTTCTGTAGGTGTACCTAATGTCTAAGAATTATATATTCAAATAAATTTAAACGAATAAAGGATAATATATACTTTTATTACCAAATAGATAATAAAGCAAACAATACCTGGAATATTCTAGTAAGTTGATCTAAATCAGATTCTCCTGGTAAAAATGGTACTCGTAATAAAAGTTCTGCTAATATACATCCAACAGCCCACATATCTATCCCAGTTCCATAGAGTCTTGCTCCATATAACAATTCAGGTGATCTGTACCATCTTGTCACCACCTGATGCGTGTTTATTCTATTTGGAGAACCAAAAAATTTGGCAAGACCAAAATCACCAATCTTTAACACACCTTCTCCGTTAACAAGTAAATTATTTGGCTTTAAATCTCTATGCAGTATCCAGTTGTAATGCAAGTAGTCTAGACCTTGCAAAGTTTGAATCATATATGATTTAATATTCGCAGCAGTTAATACAATATTGTTATCTTTTATTATTACTTCCAAATCTGTGTCCATAAAATCAAATACCAAGGATACATTGGACATGTGACCGAAAACATCTAAAATAAGAGTGCATTTGAGTAATAAATATATTCTTGTTAAAGGATTAATACTTATGAGTTATTAATAACAAACTATGATATTCTTTAAATAAAGAAGAGATAGTTAACAATGTATTCAATGCATACCTAATAAACCAATCACATTATCGTGTTTCAATTCTTGCAGCAATTTAATTTCTCTTAGAGCTGTCCTGTTTATTCCATCTCTAGCTTCTGCATGGCTTCCAACTTTAATCTACAATTATGACAAATGATATATCATGCATCAATAGAGTATGATAAATTTTATTGTACAAAAAGAAGCACAAACCTTTTTCACAGCAACAATTCTTGAAGTTTCAATGTCTTTGGCTTTATAAACAGTTGCAAACTGAAAGAATATTAATAAGTATATAATGCTAAAGGAAAGATCAAACTACCACTAACCTGCCCTTCTCCTAGAAAATCAATTTTCTCGTATCTTCGTAATTTTTCAGTCATTTTGTCTGTTTATATAATTTTCTTCCTTTTTTTATCAACTATTTATTTAAAATAATATAACGAAACAAATGTTTTACGTGTTTGGAGCGTACACAACCCAATTTCGGAGCGCGTCACAGTAAACGACAGTTTACACGTGAAACAACACGTGTCCTCTGTAAACGTGATGTTCAAAAAATACTTTGGTAATTAAAATAATTATTCATTTCACTTAAACGATTTTTTCTCCAACTAAAATAAGATTTGACTTTTATGTAGTGACGTTTATCGATAAATAATGTCCTCTAAATTTAATGAATACATAACGGAAAAATATACAAAAATTTTCCAAATAATGATTAAATATTTTTTGTCAATAATATCACATTGTTCGATCAATTTTCTTGAACAAATATCATTCATTAATAAATATCAGGTATACTCTTTGAAAATAATATTTGTTATTGTATATTTACAGCAACAAAATGCCAAACCGATTCACAGCTCCCCCTACGACAAAGCTGTGTATTTAGTATAAATTTTATACTGCTAGATAGCGCTTCTATATCTGTTTAGTTCTCATTGTTTTGAAAATCTAATAACGAATAATTACAGGAAACTGAACTTCATTTGATGCAACAATTTAATTCTTAATTCCATGCGCAAAATTTTTGTTCCGGCGATTTGTCCATTTTCCCATGGTCGATTCACAGATGTGTAAAAGGTATTCGCATTTGTACTGTTTATTAAATAACCATCAACATCATTATTGTATACTTATATTATTATACTTTCAGTATAGGTACACAGATTAATACCCAAGTACATATGACCATATCCTTACCAGAATAACAATCATTATTAAATATTCCTATACCATTTATTAATTATTACAATGAAAAAAATTAAAAAGGAGATAACATCTACCCAAGCTTTAAGGCTGTCATGATATCTGGCTTTCACCATGATTATTATGTTGAAAAAAAAGAATAGACTGTATTGTAGCTTAACGCTAAACTACCGAGCAGTTAAATTGACTTTTTGAAATTTCTCTATAAAAACTCCAAAGGTGCATTTGTTGAGAGTTTAATTGATTTAGATTTTATCTTTTTTACACGTTCAGTGCCACGTGTACCACGTATGATACACTCAAATTTTCTAAAAAAATATTTTTAATGGCTACATGGTCACGGATAGCGGTACACATTAAAAAACAGTGAAAACATAAAGAAACAATATAAAAATACATAAAGATTACCTAAAACTTGAATATAGCTTAGTATTTTATTTAAAAAATCAGTACAGTTCATAAGCAAGATATAACCGAAATTTCTGTAGCACGGAACGTGTTAATTGCACAATGAAGACGTTAGGAATGGGCCATTCTGACCCATCCGGTAGTTTTAGTGTTAACCCTTTGAACTCTGTAGGCTCCAATATTGCACCAGTTATAATATTGTATATTTTAATGAATCTTAAAGAAACTACCCTAAAATTATTAGATTCTCCACACATCCAAATTTTGTACTAAGAAGGAAAATAAAAGATCGAAGACATGCTATAGCATTTCTCATTTTCGCTCAGTTGCTGATAGATTATAAAACAACCTGGAGTGTTAAGGATTTAATAATATTGGATTTAAAGCCAGGCAATTCGCATCAACAAGAAAAGCATTCGTTGTGTCGTGGAGGCTAGGCTGTCGAATATTGGCGCCGCGTTCGACGAAGCGGCTATCGTAATTAATTAAGCAAATGAACGTGGCTGCCGGGCTTATCGGGTATCAAGAGATGAGGAATCGCGTAGGATGAATGGTGCCCCGCCGCTAAGTCGGTTGCAGTAGTAATCCAGTGCAACATCGAGTAGTATTGCGAGAAGAGACATGCCACCAGTCGAGATCCTCATCTTTTTGACGATTGTTCTCGCGTCAGGTATAGTCGGTGGACAGGAAACGAAACAAATTCGTGGAATTTCACTCTTTTCGCCTAGAGACGAGTTTTTCCAAGAAATTCTCAGTCGTCCACGTACCGCAGCTCGCCGCGAGAGGTGTCCGAGTTTAGATACGTCTTTCGTTACTTTCACATTACACTCGTTATCAATTATTTTCGAATGTCTTGCTTTACCGCGATCTATTCAAATGCAACGAGAATAATTTGATAAGTAAATAGAAAATTCACGATCTCATTTGCTTTGATCGATAGATTAACCCTTAGCACTCGAGTGGTGACTCTGGATAATTTAAAGAATTATAAACGTTAGTATTTACCATTGATCTTTGTATACTGCATCGATAGGTGAAATATTGAAAGGAAATAACTTTGTTCCCTAATCTATCTGTGATTTCTTATAAATTAATGTTAAGAAATCTTGTCTACACCTAATTAGTATTGAACGCCAAGTATTGAATATTTCAAGTTAAATTCACTAGAAATATTTAACATATCTTCATGAGACAAAGACGATATTCTTTGAAACTGGAAAATCACAAGTGCAGTGGGGAACAAAGCTTTTTTATCCCAATATTTCACGTATCGAGGAATTATAGAAAGTTCAACATTAACACTGGAACTACCAAATGGGTCAAAATCACTAATTTCTTGATTTTTTCTTTTGCAATGACCGAGGAGGTACGAATATCTCTCTGAGAAATTACTAAAGAAGCTGATTAAGTAATACCTAAGCTGAAATTTAAACCAATTCAAATCTTAACAAATCCACGTTTGTAGATTCTATAATGTAATTTTCAGAAGTCAGTTCAAGTGCTCGGTAGTTCTGGTGTTGAATCTCAGATTTTATAATTTCACTGCGACAAATCAAGCGGTAACCGAGCGTCACCTTCGTTAGTTAGAAATTAGCGTCCCCACAACGGATAAAGAGGTTCAGAGGTCTATCTGTCGTCTTTCGGGGACAAGTTTCACAAGTTCACCACAAGTTTGTCCACCGATTATGAAATGGAACCACGTGAATCTTAGCATCTTCAACGTTCAAGTGACCAGAGTGATCATTTCTCCCTTTCTTTTCTTTTTTTTAACTCGTTGAATGCCGTAAGGGTCACCGGCGACCTCCAACCAAATTGAATTACTATAGTTCACTCAATGAAATGACGATTATTTGGAAATATTAATCTATATTATAAATAATGTTACCTATTTTCGCGACATTCGGCTAGAAGAACGTGTAATAATAATAATGCGATTCAATCGAATGATTTAATATCATATATTTTCCATTTTGTGTATTTTGCTTTTTAAAATCGTGCGGTATTCGACGTGTTAAGTATCTTACGGTGACAAAATTCGCGGTTAGGAGTAGTAGATAGTGTACACAAGTTTTGAAGTTCCAAAATGTCCATGTACTTGATTTAAAGTGTGTCACTACCTGGACGTAAGGACTGTAGATTTCTTAGCTATACATTTTCCTGTGGTTCCAGCGTACACGTATCCGCAGAATACATTGCTGAACGATGTGGAGAACGTCATCAAGTCCGTGTTCAAAGTTGTATGGGAACCGGCTACATTTAACTTGTATACTAGGTACGTGTAATATTGTTTATTTCGGCTAAGAAATTCTTATTGCTGATAGGGTAGTTGATGTTTACGTCGGTTACATAATACATGTATATGTTAATGCCTTAACACGTTCGCTACCAGCGCTTATTTCGGTGACGGTCCGCTCAATTATAATACTTTCTTCAATCCAATAAACCTTCTAAAGAAAATATTAGAAAAATGAAACTAAAACGAGTCGTTGAGTTCCTAAATATAATTTTGTAGTTTATAATTTCTAATAACAATATCTATAGGATTAATTTCATTTTCGCAAATATGTGACGCTGGTAGCGAACGTGTTGAATACTGAAAACGGTCTTAGAAGTTAAATCACTTCTGGAAAATCAGCCATTGCTGGATAAGTACAACCATAAAACCATGTATTTTATAATATTTATTTATTCATAAAATAGTACATTCATGGGTGACATGGTATTTTACATGTTTACATTTTCCATTTTTTATTCTTATTTTATTCTTTGTAGAGCTGAGGAATCTGCAAGTACATGCTGCAGCTGGATTATCAACTAGAAAATCTGTTTCCATTGAATAATGTATCGGTATAGAATTTACTTGGCATTAGTACTACCGAGTCGTTAGACTCGATTCTTCATAATTTCATATAATAATTAGCAGAGTACTTTTCGTAAGATTTGAAGTCTCTGTTATTGCTATGTTGGTACAGATAAATGAATATATTTTACAATCCTCCAGAAAAGTGTCTTCGTAATTCCAACAATTGTGAAATACACATTTCGAAATGGGATGTGCTTTAATATAGTAATGTATTAAACTGAATTTCGAACGTTAATATAGTGAATTCGATGACAACGTATTAATCTCGGAACGTCGAAGGAAATTCACGTTTCTCCTTGGTAACGAGCTGCGAATTTTTCGCTTGCGCGGGGAGGCAACGTTTATCGTGCGCGTTCGTAAACGATGCATCAATTTTTTAACGATACGTACAATCAGCAAGCCGGCGAATTCTATTCTCAGCGCTGACGCTTGACTAACTATCACCGATGCGTGAATATCGGCGGACGCGCCTCCTTTTTCGTTTTCTTTTTTCTCGTCAACCTCTTTGCCGATCGTGTCGATCGACGAACCGGGGGAGAAACGAGGCGCCACATTGTACGCCTCGGGGATTCGCTCTTGGATCACCATAATTTCCATTAATACTGGAACTACCGAGCAGTCAAATAAACTTATTCAAATCTTCCTATGGAAACTTCGATATTGCATCCATTGAGATTTCAATTGATTTGCAACTCGGTTTGCGTATCATCAAACCGACCTCTTTAGTAATTTCTCAGAGAAGCGTCCGTTGTCTTTTCAACAATTGTAAAAGAAGAACAACTCATATTACATTACTATCTATTCACTTATGTTACTAAATATTTTCATTCGGTATGAATTTTCTTATTGCAATTGTTCTCAATTAATTTGGTAGCTCCGGTCATCGGTGACCACCGTGGCAATCAAAGTGTTAAACGAACCCCCGTAAATCGATACGAAAATTCAAACGAATACACACTTCCGTCGCAATCACGAGAATTTTATTGGAACAGAAAAATAAGGAATTCAATGTATGAAACTATATATTATTAAAGAGATAAGTTGAAAGAGCGGTAAATGTACGAGAAATAAAATAAAACTACTTTTTTTTGCGGATAAGATAAGTTCTGCTTCGGTGAAAGACTTTTTTGTTGGAACGAAAAACAGGCTGCGTCGAATCAAATTAGTTTCGCGTGTTTTTCGCGTTAGTTCGAAAACAATTGATCAAATAGTAATTATCACGGAATGATACTTTCGAGTTTATTTTTACCTTGCAATTGCCGGCGCAATTTTTATTAGACTAATTATTGTATTTCAGATTCTTTTAGATCATTTGATTTCTTGTTTCAGTGAATTCATCGATGTTTCTGCTAATTAATTCTTTTTCATTGACAGGGAGAATCCGTTTGGCGAGGAGCAATTGTTCTTAAACAATACAGAGGTTCTCTACGCGTCCCATTTCAACGAAAGCCGCCCGACAAAGTTCATCATCCACGGTTACAGCGACACCGGAAATGAAGCCTGGGTACGAGGTTTGATAGACGGTACGTAAGCATGCGTCTTTCGTTTCGCGCGAAAGAGGCTGCAGCTATTTCTGCTCTGTCGCATGACCAGTCTATTTTCGTCTCATTAAAATATTCGTCTAAATTGCAGAAAACCATTAAGACGATGATTAGCATTAATCGTTTCATATAATTATGAATCGAGAATTCCCGTGATCGATGACTACCGAGCGCATTTCTAGAAATGTCGACGGCAATGTGGAATCAGTGAAATTTAATTATAATCAGGGTCAATCCGTTTCGGTAAACACGGAATCGGCGTCGTCAGGTTCAAGGGTCGGCCCGATAACAGCTTAATTGATCACTTAACAAGCTTCTGTTCGCGCGGGTCCGCGCCGAGATTCTGACATAACTGTGAGAAATTTAAAGATTTAAAGCCGCTTTAAACCCCTTCCGGCGCAGGCACTTTAACCCCGGCCAGGGATATTATCTTCGTTGATTGTTCCTCTATTTTGTTTCATTATGATTTAACAATTAAAGTAACAACAGCGGAGTCCTCTGTGCGATTGATAACGGCGATTTGCAAAGCTACACGAAAGACGTCCCAATGGATCATTTATTCAAATTGCACATTCGTTATCGATATATTTACGTCTTGTTTTATCATTGTTCCTCAAATATGTCTATTTTCTTTCAATTGCAGCGTATCTCCTTCACGAAGACGTGAACGTGATCGTCGTTGGCTGGGGTGTTCTCGCGAGCACCGTCTACCCGGTGGCGGCAAACAATACGCGTCGAGTGGGCGAATTTCTCGGAAATTTTCTCGAGTTCTTGAATCGCGAGTCGAACCTTGAATACAAGGATGTTCACATCAGTGGGCATAGTTTGGGTTCGCACGTGGCAGGGTTTGCCGGGGCTTACATGAACGGACGAATCGGCAGGATAACAGGTCTGTTTCGGTGAAGAGTTCGGAAGCTTTCGTTTCGTTGTGACTAGCCTACGAATCTCTAAGTATTTATGATGTATAAAACTGTAGTGTATAAGCGTTTAAAAATACCAACTCTACGCCGACTACACGGACCATTAAATGCCTGCCGGAAATCTCATTTCTTCGTGGCTTCATGATTTTGAATTTTTATTATAAAATGATACAGAGATTTGGCTAAAGTGACATTTGTATATTAAATTACGGACTATAGTAGGTATTTTAAAATTTCTTTACATTTTTATAACATTCGCACAATGAAAAATTAAACTTAGCCATAGAAGGTCCATATTGCCGGTCACGTTGATGGAAAATCATATTACCGTCCGAGGGTTAAATAGAAGTAATATCTTTTACGAGTTTCTTAATCTACGGGAAGTATATGACATAATTAAAAATTGTTTTAACACAGATTCTGGTTTATGAAAATCTAAATTCACATAGATATTCTCGGTCTGGTCGCAACGAATACGACAATACGAGTGCACGATATATAATATAATAAATAATCATTTAACCGCGACGATATCGCGCGATAGGCCTAGATCCGGCGAGTCCCCTTTTCGAGTCGATTTCTGGAATTGTTGACCCGAAATTCAGATTAGATCCAACCGATGCGCAGTTCGTCGACGTGATTCACACGAGCGGAGCCGCGTTTGGATTCTCGGCACCGTTGGGTCATGCTGACTTTTATCCCAACAACGGAAAGTTTCCGCAGCCTGGGTGCTCGTTCATGCCTACGACAAGTATGCGAGAGCTTTATTTTTAACTTTATCTGTCTAGTTTGCACATCTCGAATGATATATTTCTGCTGTTATGTAAAAGGAGATTCGTTTTAAAGTGATATTAATACGGTAGCAAACTGAAAAGGAAAGAGTAGACGTTTGATAAACAGTTTATAGGTTTCGATGGAAATTTTAGTAGAAACTGAATAGCGTCGAATGGTTTGCCAGCTTATTGCAGTCATTCAAGGGCGCACCAGTTCATGACAGAGAGCATAGGAAGCAGGATTGGCTTCAAGGCGAGAACCTGTGAGAGCTGGAAGAAATACAAGGAAGGCCATTGCGATTATAATCCGGTCGCGTTGATGGGCGAGGGCGCATCCACATCGTAAGAACATTATTATTTCTTTCATTATTAAATTAATCATTTAAAATTGGAATTAAAACAGAAGTTAAATATTAACGAAAATTATTTACTCGAAACTTACGCATATTACAATCTAGGATTAATTCCACGATCTCAGAAAATAATTTTAATTTTATTAACACGTTGAATGTCATGAGGGTCACCGGTGTCCCTTAATCAAATCGAATTATTACAGTTCACTCAATTAAACGATGATTATTTGAAAATATTTCTATATTATAAATAATGCTACCTAATGCGGTGATATTCAGATAGATCAACGTGCAATATTAATAATGCAATTCAATCAAATGATTGAATATTATATTTTTTTCCATTTTGTGTATTTTGCTCTATGAAATCGCGCGGCATTCAATGTGTTAAATAGTTATCATTTTGAATAATATTTGTTTTTGAATAAGAATATCATTTAATAATATATGAGAATTACACTGGGTTCCCACTATTCCAAAATCTACTGACGACCATTTTCATGATGACCAACAACCAGTCGCTCTAATGAATAGTGAGCACCCAGCTATGTTATAGCGGTTTCTCGTTAGACACGGATTAACTCTCCGCGAAGTTTAATTAAAGTTTTATTTCTGATTCAAACAGATTGCGGGGAAAGTTTTATTTGGAAACGAACGGCGCACCCCCATTCGCGATAGAGTGAACGACAACGGGAGCGGGAACCGGAGCTCGAAACGACAGTTTGGTGGTGATCGTGTTTTTGCGATATGAAACGACCCGTACTAGTCATTTATAAGTTACTTTTATTTATGCAGCGTGTGCTGTTCTATGTGGAACAACAGCCCCGAAATGAGACCGTAAGAGGGTCGTTGTCCCGACGTGCATGCCCGTAGAGAGTACAAATTATATTAATTAATCTAGCACGATTAGATTATATTCGTCTTTTCTCGTTCTTGTACATTTGTAAGTGAGAAGGATAATACACGTTTTATTGGTTACGTCGATAACTTAGCGGCATTATTGCTGTTGAAACTTCAAAGGTGTATAACACTTAATAAAAGTATCAGGCAACTTTTCGTTTTCAAATGTTTCCATCATTATTCACTGAACTCACGACTAGACACGATTGTTCACTGGAATGAGACAGTGACACTTAATATCTCAGTGAAAATACTGGGATAAAGAATGTTTGGCTAATGGTTAGGTCTATATTTTATTCAGGAACTACTTTCGTCGTTAAAAATTGAAATTTATAAGATGTCAATATGTCACTTAATATTTTATCACGGTTATGATTAAGAAACGAGGGAATACATTATTCAGTCGAGATTCAATGTCGATGAAGAGTGTCAGTGCAGGACTGACCAAAAGTCGTTTAAGAAGTGTACTTTCCGGAAATTGTTTTACTCGAGTTTAATGTGAATCATTTGAAATCGATACGATGCATCTGGCGAACATCTATTTGTTCTTGTTAGCGCAGTTAACGTGTGCTTTGTCCGTTAATGAAAATAAAGTCGTACGAGACTATTTTTCATTCAAGAAAGTGAAAAGGATCGTAGCATTTTCTTGCGGCGATTTGGAAAGTAAGTACAAATACTTCAAACGCTGCACTAAGACTCTAGTTACATCACCCGAAAAATACGAAACACAGAAAAGAAAATCGTGAAGTTTTCTGGAAGATTAACAAAACTCTTTTCACGTTTTCTTCGAACAATTTCTTCATGTGATAGTTAAATTCTTTTTATTTCTGCTTTTTACAAAGTAGTTATCAAATCC